AAATGTTAACGCACAGGTCAATTTCTAAACTTAGGCTTTGGAATGATCACTTTCCTTTAAAATAGTGATCATACCTAATAACTGGCTTTATTTTTCCTTGCTCTTTGTCTCTAAAATTGCTACTTTTCTTCTACCTTTCTCTTGATCTTTCAGCCTTATGATCTCAGCCTTATGATCTCAGCTCAGAGTTTCCTACAAAATATGTTCTAATTAGTAATTTTTACACAAAAAATTCACAAAATCTAAACAACTAAACTATTTAGAAAGGAATTGAACATTCTATTATTTTTATGAGTTTTTTAGCTTTCTCCATTATATTTTCTATATCAAATGTATTAAAAATTCAAATAAAATACTAGTAAAATATGGATTTATCATGTTAATGAGCTATTTGTCGAGGTATCATTATCTAATCTAACTTAATTTCTTCCCCGTTATCTATTTCCTTAACATAAAATATTGAATTTTTTATGCACATAGACTTCAACGTTATTCAGGGTTAGACGATCATTCGGGATTTAGAATCATAGATTTCAGGTAGATACATATTTAAATCTTTAAAAATTTATGATTAAATTAATATTTTTTTTTCAATGGTGTAAAATTATTTTTATAAGTTTATATTATTAAATTGATCCATATTATCTTGTTACATACCCTTTCCGTTTATTTTTATCAATCACTTAAAAGAGTTGAAAAATAAATTAAAGACTAGATTCACTATTTATATTTTTATACAAATTATCATCTAAAATTTGTTATAATTTTTTATCATTTTATTGATTTAAATAATTAATAAATAGTATTTTTATTAAAATTATATTATAAAAAATTACACGAATGGATGCATTTTATGTTTTTATAATATTTTTTATTTTTTCATTAGTGTGTACTTATAAAAAGTATAAACACAATTTAAAATATATTATTTGTTAAATTCTTTTTATATTCTTATTTTTTTATAAAATGTGTTACTAAGAAAATCACTCACTTTTAATACAAGTAGATATATTCAATTATTTAATACTATTTATTTTTATTTATTTCTCAATAAGGGGAAAAAGTTAATTTGTTTCTATGGTGGTATAAAAGTTTAACACTATTCATTATGATTGTTCTACTAATATCCTTCTTTCATTATAAAGTATTTTAAAAAATTATAACCTTAATCTTAAAAGGCATTTGATAGAGGAAATCTTTAAAAGAAATTAGGAATAGTAAGTTGAGAATGTTAATTTTTATGTTTGGTATACATATTTTAAAAATATTTTCAATCAACTAATATTTTGTTAGGAAACATTCTCTTGGAAGTATAAAAATTTAAGATTGTCGGCAAAAACCAAAAAAAAAACCTAGTTTATGTTATCTCTCTTTGTTATCAATTTTTTCAATTTTTTATTATTATTAACTTGCTATTAGAATAAAAAATTATATAAAATTATTAATTGAAATTTTGTAATCACATCATTCATATTAATCAACTTAAATGACAATGTTATCTCATCTGGTAATATATATATATATATATATATATATATATATATAATTTTTAAATTAAAAATATAAATTTATTTTATATTGTAAAAATATTAATTATCATAGAGAGTAGACAAATATTTTGAAAGAAACTTTAATATTTCTATGAAATAATATTTAAATTAAACTTGATATTAAAACAATTTTAAGAATTATTGTTACAAAATTTCTAAAAATATTTAAGACATATCAAACATATTTTTAATATGTTTAGAAGACATAATTCTTAGAAAACATAATTAGCAAGAACGAAAAAAACATTTGTACACTAAACACCCTTTAAGAGCTTATTTTAAGCAATAAAAAGTAGTAAGTTTTTATTTGGTAAGAAATATATTTATTACATTAATAATATAAATATTTAATAAATAATTTTTAATAAAAATTTATTGTTTTTATAATCTTAAAATTTTTCCTTTGAGTTTAACAAAACTAAAGTATTAAGTGGTTCAAAAGTAAAACAAAAAACAAAAAAAAAGGTCACTAATAAAAAATATTTAATAAATAAATAATTAATTTCAATAACATAATTGATTTTTTTATTCTCTTTCCTTTCTTTTTCTTTTGACAGATAAATAAGAATAAAAATAGCACAAACGAATAATTTAATTATTTTAATACTATTACTTATTCCAATATAAAATATGAATTTATAATATATAATTGTTTTTATTAGTCTTAATAAATTAATTGTTTATTTTTTTTATAAGAAAGAGACGGAAGAAGTAATCTATTGCTATTGCATTTAATATTAAACATATAATTGATAAAACATAATTAATGTAATTTTAAAATTAAAAATTAAAAAATATTAAAAAAATGATTTCCCAGAAATGTGATAAATAAAAAGAAGAAAACAGAAAGAGTACACTACAGGTCAAGCTATTTATATGCACTTAAAGTTATTTGTAATTTGTGGGAGGGTCTAAGCTGACATCCAGACAGCTCTGTACAAAACAGTAAAATATTAAAATTAGGGAGAACAGCACAACCATGAATAGAATCATACGGAGGAAACTAAGTTAAAGCTTTCCCCAAAAAAGAAATGTATAAAACGTTGCGTTTAAGGCTTACTTTGTTGGCGAAATCTGTGTATAATTTATAATTATTAATTCTTAAAAGAAAATATTTTTAAAAGTGTTTCTTTAATGAGGGTATTTTTAAAAAATATTCTCAAACAGAAATATTGTTAAGAATTATTTTTTATCATGTTAAATAAAGGTTTGTATAATATTTATTTTTAATTTAATATTAATTTAACTTTTTTATATTTTTAATCATATTTAATATAATAAAATATTTATTATTAATAATTATAATAATTATTTTAAATTTATTAAATTTGTAAATAGTCATATGATATATTTAATTATATATTTAAAAAATATAATTTAATGATATAAAAAATTACTAGTTATTTTAAGCAATATGTCCGAGTAAGAAGTGATCCAAATTGCTTCTTACTTATCAAACCTACCAAACTTAAATTAAAACTCGTTAGTTTTAAAATTAGAATCTTCAAAATTTTAAATTAGAATATTAAAATTTTCAAAAGCCAAAGTTGCGTATGCACAAAAAGAAAATAAAAAAAAGGTAAAGTTGGATATTTCTGAATGAAGGCTGCTTTCGTTTTGCCGGTCCATCATTGTTTCAAAATTCGAAAAAAATAAAAAAGTGATTGAACTAAAAGTTAACATTCAAATAGAGAAAATAAATATGCCTATAAAAAAATAGAGAAAATAAAAATGCATATTCTAATAATGTTATAAAAAAGTTGTTTACTTTGATAAGATGTTACTATGAATAAATATTTCATTTGACATTTTTTAGTCCTTTAAAAACTATATTTAACATTAATTGAATATTCTAAGTATTTATGACATTAAGTTATTCAAACATTAAAATGCGCAAAATTTAGTTTTTACTTTAATTAATAAATTAATATAATGACTTATTTAACATCATGATTTTTATTTCTAAATTAATTTTAAATGTTTTTAAAATATTAAAATGATATTTTTATTTTTCAAACTAATTAATAATAAAAGTTTTATAAAATATAGTTCAAAATAAATAAATATTTAATATTATATTTTAAATAATTAATAATATGAAAATAAAATATTGCCCATTTTATATACACTTTATGGAATTTAGTATAATTTAATTACCGTTAAAATTAACCAGAAAAAAAAACCAGAATAATATAATAAAATGTATTATATTTGTTTTTAAATGACTGACATTTAAGGCTACATTATAATTACAGATACATTAAATCAAATTAATTAAAAATAAAAAGTATATTAATAATTTTCCAAAACAATAGTCAGGAAGATGGAGCTTATTTTTCTTATTCAAAGATATATTAGAAAATAATAAAAGATATTAAATGCATTCATGACCAAAGAACATTGTATGAACTACTGAAAATATATTAACATTTAAAGGAAAACAACTGAAAATATATTTAATTTTCAAGCATACCACTCCACAGCAGGACTACTCAAAAAGATTAAATTGAACATAAACAAGCCAAATGACCCACAAGATTTTCAGAAAACCAAAAGCTACGGAATAAAACGAAAATGGTGGGTCTTCTAAAACGACGGAACAGAAACAGAACGCAACGGGAGCACACAGGACCAAACAAATGAGAGAGCGAGGCACCACAGTTTTGGTATCAAATTTAATTTTTCTTGTCAGGAGGACCATAGATCACTAAGGTAATAATTTAATGCTCATTTTTTTTTATTCATAATAATTTAATGTTCTAACACTCCTTATTAATTATTTAACTTTATTATTTGAATATTTGTAACTTAATATTAAATACAAGACGACTCACAAAATGTCATTATTAAAATGATTTTTTAAACTTGAGTTCGTAGATAAACACACAATATAAATTTATGCACGGTAAACTCTTTTTTAATTATAATATTTTATATTACTAATAACTTAAATTTTATAATATCTTATAATCTATAATAAAAATATAACGTTATTAAAATATACACAAAACAATTTTAATAATTAGTATTAGTCTTGTAGGGGAGAAACCCTTTGTTGGTTTGTGTTAGCTCATATTAATTGCTGAGCAAAGGAGAGAGGAAGCAAGGTCGTAGCAGTTGACCATCGTTAACAGGTAATTACAAAGTTATCAATGCCACTTGTCTCTCTGTGATCTGTAGCCTCTAACTATTAATTAATTAATTAATGATGTTGGTGGTGGTGTTATCATTATTTCTTTCTCAATATCATGTTATTTGTTTAACTTTTTATTTTATTTTTTGAATTAGTTGTCGCTTTAAAAATTTTAGTATTTTTATTTATTAATACTTCACTTAAATATTTCAATGTTTCATAAATATATTTAAATTCTTTTAATGAAAATAATTTGTATAATTAATAATTGCTTTTAAAAAATATATATTACCTTGCATAAATGTATTTTATTATTCGCCTTCTCTCTTGAACACTGACATGCATTACCAACTATACACATTGAGGCAATCTCTTCTCTTTCCTAGCTTTTGTGTTGGTAATTCCATTCTTAACAGTTTCTGCTTTAATTTTGACCATGGAATGTTTCTGTGTTCGTTTCTTTTGTCGCTTAAGGTTGTCTCTCCCTCTATCTCCCTGAATGGTTCACCCGTATGCTATGTGAACTGTGAAATGATGATCCACTTTTAAAGTCTTAACAGCATCTCTGTTCTAATAGCTGGCAATTTTTATTGAGTGCAGTTAAGATTAGTGAGACAAATTGTTTATATATACAAACACTTGGGAAGAAAAATAATTGCTATGTTTTTCTTGTTCATTAGTATTGGATGTGGCTCGTGATATTTCTCTTTCATTTGAGGGTGTTGATTGTGTATATTTAATATCTTGCACCCTTTCTTTTATGGGGGCTAAGGAAGTTTTTCGACCTGCCATAGATTATTATCCGTTTTGCTGGTTCTGTGATTTCCATCATGCGATTGTTGAGGTATATGCTGTGACTGACCTGAGATTTTCTCTGTACTTTTCTGGATATCTAAAGTTGTATGTTATTTGTTTTGAGGGGTAAGATCTAATCAGAGCCAAGGGACAAAATATTGGTAGGGAATTTGACGGGGTCATATCGTGTAGTCCTTTTTGTGAGATGAAAAATCTGAGTTTGAAATTTTGTAGCCGAAAACTTTTTCTTTTGTCCTTTTATACGTCGAGTACTGCCCTTGGATTCTATTATGTTAGTCCAAAATCCAAATCTTTTACTTATAAAAAGAAAAAGGCAACTGGTACTTGCTTTTGCAAATTTAAATATTACCATAAGCTCATAGCGGCAAATCATATTCTTTAATGAAGAAAAGTGATTGGTATAAGCTATGTGGATATCAGGAGCTTAAGTCATAATATGGTCCCCAATTTAATTAAATTTGAGTGTTTAATATAATTGGACCTTTATATTCTTAAAGCTTTGTGGTAAACACTGCATTTTTTAATGCTCTCCAAGTACCTAGTACATCAAGGCGTGAGTCGAATTGGGTTGTGATCAATAATAGAATTGCTGGAAAAGTTCCTATTGTATGTTGGGGGAAAAAGAGTCTTAGTACAAAGATACATTTTCTTTACTACTGAATTCCAAACCAATGTCTGAAATTCTCTTATGAATAGTGAAATGACGCTTTCCTTTTGTCTTCTTTATTTTAATTTGGTTATCTTTTGTGTCACATAATGACTTTACCATTTGTTATTTCATCCATGCTATCCTAGTAGTTTCTGTTTGCAGATTTTCGCAGGGTCCTACAAAATATTGAGTGATCAGGATAGTATCTTTAATGGCAAATACTACTGGAAGTAAAAGAGAAAAATATTTCCATTTATTCGAACCCAACATGAACCTTAAAACTAGGTAACTTAACTGTTTAATTGTTATTTCTCCTTTTGTTACTTTTATTTTCCCCAGCAACTATACATGTATCTTCTCTTTGCTATAATATGGGTCAGGTAAGCCTGCTTAAATGTATTTTATTAAATTAGTTGTTCTTTGATTCATAATTCTTCAATTTTCTGAAGTGTGGTTTGCTTATTGAACCATATTTTGAGCAATGTGGCCCTTCCAAATCCATTATATAGCTATTCTTAATATGGATTCTTATTTTATTTACTGAAAAAAATATGTTGTTAATGGTATTTGTTTTTTAATCTAGTGATTATTATTTTGATATTCGAATCATGCTAATTCATTTTCTACTAGTTGAAGATGTATAATGTTGAACTGGCTTCTTTACATTCAAATATTGGTCTTGGGCGCGAGTCTCAATCTTTTGGGTTCAATAACAGTGATTTTGACTCTACTGGATACAAATCACACAACCACAAAATGCAGGAATATGAAAAACAAGACCACAAAGTGAAGTATAACGGAGATTCAGATGGGTCAACATATGACATGGACTCAGCAGCTCACACAACTACAATGAAAATTGATTTGAAAAATGATTATGAAGCACAGATCAGGGACTTTTTTGATTCAGTATCCCATTCATCCGAGGAAATAGAGTCGTTTAGGATGCTTCAAAATGACTTGCAATCAATTATAAGGGCCTCCAATTCATCAATCTCTGATCCCCCAGAAGAAACAGATTCATTTGAGGATCCAGCAGATATCTATATGGACAAAAGTGTTAGAGAATGTGAACCAGAACTTGCAGTTTGTCACAAAGAGACTAGTTACAACATTATTAAGGATATCATCTGTGTGGATGAAGGATGCACTGCCAAGGATAAATTTTTGTTCGGGAGAAAAGTACAAGAAAATATCTGCAATTTGTTTTCTTCTTGGAGTTGTGAAAATAAAGAAACAGTGAAAGATAACATTGGGATCAATGTGCTAAATCCACTGGCAACAGAGGAAACTGATAAGGTTATTTCTGAATATTATCAGTCCAAGGATTTGACACGGCAAGATGAAGATGCAACTCGAAAACTTGTTGAAAATATCTATAAGGAGATTGTTGTGCCTGGAGATAAGGTTTTGTTCCCAGAGTTAAGAACAGAAATATCCAGGCCATCAGGTGCTGCGGGTGATGAAATTGAACACAACCACGCGGAGGTATTCAATATTTCCCCCCCTTTTCAACTTACATTCTATTCAGTGAACTCTCAATGCAATCAATTTAGGTGCAGTTCCTTAGATACTTTTGGTGCTATTTTATCATCAAAATTAGTGTTTTACCTTGGTAAAAGATCCACATTTAAGGTTATTGATGATTACCAAAGGAAAACTATAATTTTAATTAAAAAATAACACGAACATCACCTAAGAAAATACATCCAAGTTTTGTCCTTATTCAATATAAAATTGTTATTCGCCTTATGTTGATGATGATTTCTTTAGGATGCGTGTTATTGAGTAACGTTCTTTATTTATTTCAGGTAACTGTTAGTGAGTTACACTCCCAGCGTGACAAGTTAAAAAATACGATTGAGGATGCAGCAACTTTAGAGTTAACAGTTGCTGAATCTAACATTGATATCCTTGACAGTGGTAGTAAGTTGCAGCAAGAGAATGGAAGCATCACGAATCAGTTTGATGATTCAGTTTGTGGAACCTGTGAGAAACAGGCACTTTGCAAAGTCGATGGTTGTAATTGTTGTCAAACTCAGAACGCACCTATGAAGTCTAATGGTCAAAATCAAGCTCATCGCAGTTTCTCTTCTATTTCAAGTCGCATAACAAATTCAGGGGCTGTACCTTATTCTGGTAACATCTCATTCCGATCAGATAGCAGCACAGCTAGCACGCGATCCTTTGCCTTTCCCATGTAAAATGCTCCAAACTCGTTGGTTCTAATGTTTCTTCGTTAGTTTCTATGTTGGCAATGCGTTAATAACGAATACACTATCTGGTGCTTGCAGATTGCAATCTGAATGGAATAGCAGTCCAGTGAGAATGGTGAAACCTGAAAAGAGGCACCAGGGTTGGAAGCTGCACCTTTTTTGCTGTAAATTCTGAAAGATTCTTTGTTTTTGTTTCCCATGGGTTTAAATTCAAATATATCATTAATATTTTTTTTAGTAGTTTGCAGTTGGTTTAGAATGCAGAGCCAGTGCCTCCTTCTGTATGCAAGCAGAAGCCTTAGGTTTTCCCCTTGCATTTGTTTGTTCCCTTGTTTCTTTCTTTTTTCCCTTTAGAATCAAAATTTTATTTCTAATGGACATAATTCATGGTGTATTTTATTTTTGTCATGTTATGGCATACATTAATATAACATACATTACGATCTAAAATTAATTTGAAAATATAAAAATTCTTAGGTTGGTTTGACATTAGGATAAAAAGATACCTCCAATCATATTTTATTTTTTATGTTTGTTGAACCAAGCAATATGATAGCTTAATGTAATGAATTATTTTATTATATCCTTATAACTTAAATTTTCATCTAGCAAGAGTTGACACGTTGAGAAACCTCAGGATAAAATAATTTTTTTATAGTATTTGTAACACTCCAAAATTTTTTCATTTCATAAATAATTTTGTAGTATGTTAACCTCATTTAATTAAAAATAAATAGTACAAAAAGACTTGAGAACTAGAATTTTTCCTTAGTAAAATTTATCGAAATAAGTTCGATCGGTAAATAATCGAGTAATATAAAAAGGAAATAAAAAATTTTATTTAACATTTTAGAATATCTAAAATATTTTTATGAATTATAAGAAGTTTAGGAAGATCCAAAAATGGAAAATAAATAAAATTCTAAAATTTAACTAAAATGACCAAAATACCCCTAGAAGTACCTAGAATGGAGGCCCATTTTGAACAAGCAAATGAAGGAGAATAATTATGGAATTTTTATGATAGATGGCCCATGTGTAGAGGTTATGGACGTGCAAGTTTGGAGCCGAAAGAACAAGTATAGAAATTACCCAAAAATCACCCAAAAAGAGGCCTAAAAACCAAGTGTATATGAAAGAAAGTGGGCTAGGAATGGTAGTAAGGAGCCATGTGACCCTTTAGAGCCATGTGAGACTAATCATGATTAAGGGATAAGGTCATTTATAGTTTAATCCTAGCTGGATGAGCATATTCCATAAGAACCAATGAAATTAATCCAAAAAACAAGATAAGTATTCTAGAAGATAAGGCTAATGATGAATAATTTGTGGACTAATCCTCATCCAATGGATCTAATTGAACCATGACCATGTCCATTGGATTTGAACTAAATAGGTTTCAAAAAGTAATTGGAATGGTTGAAATGGAACTAGGAAAGTTAAAATCTAACTAGAATTACAAAAACTATCATGAAAGGGGCAATTTTGGACATTTACAAATGTGCACAGGAGTAGGCTTGTAGAAAAAGCCAAAAAGGAACCAAAATTGAAAATCAAGACTTGTGTGAAAGAGGGTGGAACCGTGAGATGCATGAGAGTGGGCCAACATGAAGAGATTTTCTATATAAAGCCATGCATGAAGGAGAAAAAGACCCTTCATACTAATTCTCATGCAACCAGGAGCTATTTACTTCTTCTTTATCTCAATTCTCTCTATACACATCCAAGTTCAACTCAAACACTTTACTTGCACCCTACAAGTTATATCACCCAATACCCCACCATAAGGATCTTGAATCAAGCCTTTAACCCCACCAAAAACACCAAGATACTCCACAACATCAACCAAGCCCCCAACTTTCTTTTTGTATACTATTTGGCACTTGAGGAGGTAGGAAGCCAAGGAAGGAGATACTCACTTCCAAGAGGTGAAATAAAGAAAAAGGGAAGAGGAGAAGGATCACCCAAAGATCAAGGCAAGATCAACCCAAAAACACCAAGTAAGGGGGGAGGGTACTTTTCATAATCAAGGGGAATACCTTGTTTAAATGGTTTTGAGTCAAGGGGAGCCTTAACCCTTTTGGTTGTGATTGAATTTGTATGTGTTGATGAATCCATGATTAAAATTTTGATTAAGAAAATCACTAAGAACCACAAAGTGTTTAATGATGACTTTGCTTGTTATGTGATTGGTTGTATGAAAATCTTGCATGTTTCATTTTGTGACTTATTTTTATGATGGTATCTAAGTTGTATTCATGATCTTCTTTTGGATTGAAATTGTTTTGGAGTCAAAATAAATTTCTAAAGTATTTTTGAAAAAATTATGAAAGAAACTTCTAAAAGGAAATGGATTAAAAATGGAAAGTGACCATGATGAAGACCCTTGGACTTTTGGACATATTTGGACCTATGGACTACATGAACAAATGATGAGAACAAGCTTTAAAATAATAAATTTGAAAGATTGAACCTAAAAAATAGGAAGATACCATGGACCTGGACCAAAAATACCTTAGATATGCAAGATCCTTGTCCACATGTGTGGTAGGACCAAGAGAATGATTTGAACCATATTTGGACATGAATTAATGACCTTGAACACATGGAAGACATAATGGACAATTTGATGCTTACCAAATTGGAGACAAGGACCTTTTCTCAATTAATATAAAATATAAGGATTAAAGTGTAAATAATGTAAAATATGAGAAAATATTTAAAAGTGTTTTTTTTAGTATTTTATTCATGAAGATAGTAAAATTTATATTATTTTCCTGCTGGGTTTATTTTATTTGGGTTTATATTTAATTAGTTATGATTTTTATAAATTTCTGTTGCATGAAAATGGTATTCTGAAGCAGTATATCTTGACTTATTTTCGTCTCACTGTGTGTTAGGAGTGTTATTTTATTGACATTTTTCTACAAAAAAGGACTTCTCAATGGAAATATAATCACTGGTTTCACTTGATTTGGAATTGAAATAAAATAGTTATGAATTATTGAATATTCGTTTATGTGTAAATGTTTTTTGAGAACTGCGTACTTTAAATCATTTTCTTCTTATAATTCAAGTGTAATTGTATTTTATTTATATTTTTATCTTAAACTATAATTTATGAGGAAAATATGCTCATTGAGTTTGATCAATTTGGAATTAAAATGAATTACTTATGATTTTCTCAAGGTGTTGTTGTATGAGGGTAACATTTTGTGCATGCTATTGAGAAATCTCCTTTCGTTTTAAAATGTATAGGTGGCGTTATTTTATTTTTATTTTTGTGTAAAAATAGAGACTATAATAGAAATATTCTCACTAGTTTGATGAATTTTGGACTTAAAATAAAATAGTTATGACTTTTCTAATTAGCTGATTCTGATAAGTGTGTTAGTGTGAGTAATAGAGAATGTTTAGGGCTTAATTTGGAATCTGGAAGTTATAAATTTTTAATGATATTTTTCCGTGAAACTAGATAACCAAATTAAAAGGATGCCACTAATTTCATGAGTTTTGGTGATGAATTGAATGATTTATGATTTTTCCAATATGCTATTATTGAATTGTGCCATTCTGTGACATGAACTGAGAAACTGAAGCACGAACTAATGTTTGTGAATATTTTGATTTTGAAAGTATTTTTAAATGAAAATATATATGTTAAGGAGAATAAACTCACTTGTTTCATGTATTTTGGATGAAAAAAATTATTACAAATTTTCTAATGTGCTGGTTGTTTAGTAAATTAATCTGAGAATAGCAGAGATGAATTGAGGTTTAATGAATTTTTTAGAAGTGTTTGAATTTTGAATGTAATATTATATTATAGTAGACATTTTAAAGGAAGAAAACATTGGTGATTTCATGATGTTTAAACTTGTATTGAATTACTTATGAATTTTACGAGTTAGTGCATGAAATCTGGAAAATTTTGATTGTTAAACATGTCCATATAATTGATTATTCTCTTGAAATAGAGATGTTATAATGTACCTATTGGACAATTATTGGCTATGATATGCTTTGTGTTTATGATTGTGAAAGAGGTTGAATACGCCACCATACAGGCGAGGAGCAAATAGTGTTGGTCTGACCATAGGGGATAGGAAAGTGCCCAAGACTTACAGGGAACCAAGTCTAGCTAACTTGTGTCGTAGGCAGTGGAAACTTTGCTAGCCTATCCTGACAGACACTAGAGCATACCAAGATTGGTTTGAGTGTGGGATGCTGGTAGTGATCATAAAGTGAAAATTGTGCACTTATGTTCTGTCTTCGGTGAAGGGAGAAGATATACCTATGACACTAACTGGATTGCAGACACAGAACTCCCAATCTCAACCTGAAATTAAAATGTTGGATAATTAATTAATTACTCCATGGAGGACTCGAAAATAAAAGATACTAAATGATTATTGTTTAATGCTTGAATGTTATTTTGTTCATTTAAGCAAACATATTGTTTAATGCTTGGTATTGTTGATGTCTAATTGATGTTTTGTTCGTTTAAACATGAGTATTGTCTATTAGATTATTTATGAATATTTGTACTCACCCCTATCTTTTTCTATGATGTGTCCAAAATGTATATGGATGCAGAATGAATGAAGGTGCACCAATTAATCTTGCGCGTACCATGACCTTTAGTATAAGGACTAGAGAGTGGAGTTTCAATGACTCCAACCAGACCATCATATTTCAAGGTTTTATTATCTTAACTATATCTACTGTTAATAATCCCTATGTTAGTCCTACTATTATACAGGGAGAAGTTAGAGTGGAGGTCCCTTTTCCTCTCTGCTATGCAGCTGCATACCTTGGCATTGATCTTGACCCTCCTCCAGGGGGATTGGATGAATAAGAAAGGAGTCAAGAGGAGAGGAGGAGTTTAGTTTATCTATGTATTATGTGTAGTATACTATCCTAGACTGTTATCCTTCCTTGTAATGTTCCATAGTTAAATAATTTTGAGAATAATCTAGACGGTATGTAATATTATATTTTGTACTCTAAATATTGTGTTTGAGGACATAAATATAATATGCATGTTGATGTGTATACATTTGAAATTGAGTAGTTATTAAACGCTTTAATTTATTTCTTATTCACCACAAGAAATGTGATGACATTGAGAAATACTTATTGAAAATAGGGACGTCTCAGTATTCATGTTAATATTTTACACCTTTTATAAACATAATTTTAATACTTTTATAAAACAATGTTATACGGATATTTTTTAATTAAAAATATTTAAAAGAAAGTATATCTTTTAAACATTATTTTTATAAAAAGTTGAAGAAAATTATTTTAATTTAATATTATAAGTTCACAAAAATGCTTTTAAATTTTTAATAAATATTTTTATTAAAAGACAGATAATTTTTTAAGAAA